CTGGAGGAGAAAGAATATATGATAGGCATCTTCATGTATTTGAACAGCTGTTTCCTTTCTGTTTCTGCTGTTCCAGAAGTAGGATGCAAATCAATAGGTTGTGATTCGAGGACCCAATCCCTGCTTGGGGAATAAAGACACGTGGGCACATTATGTAAGGTTAATGGGTAAGGAAAAGGCCACAACTTTATTGATTCTAGCATGTGAGAAGGTATTGGCTTAGGCATTGGACCACGGAGGAGGGGTTAACCACCAGTAGGGGAAGCCTGTTGATGCTAATACAACTATAGGCTCTCTCCTGATGTCACCGAGGGTCGTGCCATGGCCCCCCGCCACACGGGCATCGGACAGGATCCACGACCGCCGGATTCCTTTAGCGGAATACCCAAAATTGTCGGGGAAGGTGATGGCCACACCTTGCCCCCCGAAACAACAACACATTCCAATGCCTAACCGCCAAATACCACGAAAATTGTGACGGTTGCTACGAGATAGGCGGAAAAAACCAAGAGGCCGGGCCAATTTAGCCAATTGGAAAAAACTCCTACCAGGTTAAACAGGGTGACCAACCAGAGGTCCATAGCAAAGTCTCAGGAAAGCTAATCTAAAGGGAGTGGAGGGTGGGTGACTTGAAGAAAATGTGTGTGCAATGGGTGGGATGGCTGGCACAGCTGCGTTTGAGCGGCAAGCCACACCCCCGCTGAGCTTCCCTATTGGGTGCCCAACCGGGGAGGGGCATGATGCACCAGCCCTGGAGTTGAAGCAGGGGGCGGAGCGCTCTCTGCATGACACGGGAATCGTCTCCCGCTCACAACCCCTCCCCTCCTGGAGGAGGATAGGCTTTCAAATAGCGGAACCGAGTTTAGACTGAACTTTAGGAAGAACTTCCTACAGTGGAACAAATTGCCTGAGAAAGTGGTAAACTGTCACTGATTTTTAAGTGGAGACTGAGTGGCCACCTATGAAGGATGCTACATTTATTTTTAGAATTTGTAAACCACTTAATTGTTGAAATTTGCTGCATTGGCAGGGGGTCGGACCACATACCTTTGTGGTCACTCCCAGCTTTATTAGGATTCTATGTTTATGAACCAATGTTATGTGGTTTGCCACCATTAAAGCCCCATCTGCACTGTTTGTTTAAAGTACCATCATACTACTTTAAACTGTCATGGCTCTCCCTGCAAGAATCCTGGAAACTGTGGGTTTTTTTAAAGGGCATTGAGACTTGTTAGGAGACCACTTCCTTTCCCAGAGCTACAGTCCCCATAGCGCTTAAACGATCAATCCTTCTTCCCAGGCAACTCTGGGAATTGTAACCCTGTGAGATGAATAGGGGGCTCCTAACAACAACCCTTAACAACCTTTAACAAACCACAGTTTCCAGGGTTATTAGTGGGAAGACATGTTTTAAATGGTAGGATGCTGTGTTAAATGTACAGTGCATCGGAGGCTTGTGGTTCGAGGACCCGATCCCCGCATAGTGGAATGAAACACACGGACACGTGATATAAGGTTAATGGGCATGGAAAGGCCACAACTTTATTGATTACAGCAAGTGAAAAGGTATTGGCTTAGGCATTGCATTACGTCAGTTGACTCCACCCACTCGGAGAGGGGTGAGTCTAAAAGAGGGGTTTATTCATTAGTAGGTGGAGCCTGTTGATGCTAATCCAACTATAAGCTCTCCCCTGATGTCACCGAGGGTCATGCCATGGCCTCCCGCCACGCAGGCATCGGACAGAATACACGACCGCCGGATTCCTTTAACGGAATACCCAAAAATTGAAGGCGTTGGTGATGGCCACACCTAGCCCTTCCACACACCACAACACATTATTCCAATGCCTAACCTACCCACCAATACCCCGAAAGTTGTGACGATTGCTATGAGGTAGGTGAAAAAACCACAAAGCCTAATGTCAAATGGAAAAATTCCTATCAGGCCCCCCGGACAACCAGGGCGACCAACCTAAGGTCCATAGCAAGGCCAAAAGAAAACTGAGACCCTGATCTCTAAGGGAGTGGAGGGTGGGTGACTCGCGACAGGATGACGGAGAGTGAGGGTGCGTGGCTGGCGCAGCAGCGATTTACGCTGCCGTCCACGCCCCCTCGAAGGCACCTGGTTGGGTGCCTGCCCGTGGGCGTGGTGCGCCAGCCAGGTGAGTGGTAGGCAGGGGGCTAACGCCCCCTGCTTGAGGCGGAGACCGGCTCCCGCCCACAACCACTCCCCTCTTTTGCAGGAGGAGAGTCTTTACATGACACTGAAAAGAAGCAACAGAGAAAAGGACAGAACTACAATGTTTCATGAGGTGAAATTTTGTTATTGGGGTGAATTTGTCCAGTGGCATGAATTCTGTCACTTTTGAGGTAAATACTGACATTAGGGACTCTTCAGAGTCGTTATAGAAGGGACGGGCAAGTTGCTGGGCTAAATGAATAAGGTCTAGTACCTCTCTCATCGTGAAGCTGTTTTGCTTCAACACTTGATCTTAGCCAAAAGGTGGATAAACAGTTGTACAGTACGTTAATCATATCATTGGTTATTAATAATCATATATGCATTAGGACAATAATATTATTTATATAGCCATATAATAATGTATGCAAATGCAACGGGTTATATATTTACTATACTGTTTCTTTCTTAATGTAAATTTTGTGCATTAATATATTCTTCCATCGCTTCATTTTCTATAACTGAAATTCTTTTAATAAAATATTAATTTAAAAAAGAAGAAGCTGTTTTGCTTCAGGTACAACTCTGGAGGTAAGGCAGATTATTTGAGAGGAAGAGAATCAGAGAATCTACCGCCCCAACAAAGATCCTGTCCTGAGGTGTGTTTAAATTTTGGGAAATTCAGAATGACTTACAGATTGGCTGCCTCCTTTACTGCTCACTGGGGGGTTGCCAGGCAGGAGTGGAGTATATATTAGAGAAACACACTGGGTGGGTCATTTCTTCTCATTTGACTTGAAACCTGCAGTGTTGAATGCCCCTCCAAAGAAAAGACAGCGATTGATGTAGAGCTGTTAAATACAGTGGTGCCTCGCAAGATGAAATTAATTCATTCCGCAAGTTTTGTCGTCTTGCGATTTTTTTCGTCTTGCGAAGCACGGTGTCAGAAAAGTTTTGGAAAAGCTTCAAAAATCACCAAAGTCTTCAAAAACCTCAAAAAAGGCAGCGAGGAATATGGAAAAGGGTCTGATCTGATGAGAAGGGTTAAAAACATTACTAAGTTGGAATTACCACGAGCAAGAGACATTGTTAAGCTGGAGTTATTACGAGGAGATAAGGGAAATTACAGCTATAAGTATGAAGAAGAGCTGCGGAAGGGCCATGGAAGTGATCTGAGGGCCTCGGACATAAGGTCACCGGGTTAAACTGATGGGAAAGGACTGACAAATCCCGGAACCAGGAGGAAGGGACGTTGGATAAAGATTGGACTTGTCTATATCTTTCTCTCTCTTTTTCTTTATTATTAGAATGTTTTATAAAGTTTATGAAAGATAGAAAAATGTTGGAAGAATTTACCTGGCTTTAGTAAAGATGTATAAAGAATTATGAAAGAATATTATGATCACAAGAAGCTGGTAAGGTTAAGACTTAAGTTTTAAACTTTAAGGTTTATTTTATTATAGAAAGATAGGATTAAATTAGTTGAGGGTAATGTAATGATAGAATTTCTTGAAACATGGAAAGGAAAGGATTTGCTGGGATAATTAATAACTAGAATACAAAAGAAGGGAGGAGGAGGAGGTCTAAGAAAGAAGGCAACGACAGTTAAGGGTCTGAAAATAATGAATTTGTTTTGCTTTTTTTCTTTTTTCTTATTCTTTTTTCTGTATTTTTTATTTTCTTGTATTTTTACTTTTTGTATTTTTACTTTTTGTTTTTGTTTTTGTGTAATTTTTGTATCCCTTGAAATTTTAATAAATATCATTTTTTAAAAAAAAAACCTCAAAAAAGGCTACCACACCGCGTGCTATGAGTTGCTCCTCGAAGTCAAGTCGCAACTGTATTAACGGTGTTAAGAAAAAGGAAACAAACTTGCAAGACGTTTCCGTCTTGCGAAGCAAGCCCATAGGGAAAATCGTCTTGCGAAGCAGCTCAAAAAACAAAAAACCCTTTCGTTTTGCGAGTTTTCCGTCTTGCGAGGCATTCGTCTTGCGAGGTACCACTGTACTGTATATAAAGTCACAGTGTACCTTTCAAAGTAAGTATTTTTAAACCAGAAGCACTAAAACACTTTAGAAAGTTTAAAAAGAAAAATAAATAAACAATGATGTCTTATAGCAGACCCAAAGAATCTCATGTTCTACCAACTGAGTATCCCAACTGCAACTTACTCCTAAGTAAATGTGCTGACGAATCAGCAACGTGATTTGGTGAAGCAAAGTTGGCGACTTTCCCTTTGAATTACTAGGTCGTTCTCATGATTCCTTTTTTTATTATTGAATCACCGTTTCTCGACAGTCCTTGACTACAACCCTCTGTCATTAAATCGTTGTTCTTGCAACTTTCAACTGCATTCATTGTAAACAGAAAATAAAACAGAAAACAAAATGTTTTAGAAAAGGGACATCTTTTTAAAATGTGCAAAATTTTCTAAAGAAATGCATTGAAGTCGGTTCTTTTTTTTCTTTTTTCTTTTTTTTTTGCCGCAGAACTGGCCCACTTCCAAGCAGCAGTTATCACAGTAGGAAAGACGATAACTTGTACTTTAATAGCATCTCTACTGGCATGATAAATGGATCGGTGATTGGACCAATTGGGATTTCATGGTCTGAAGCTTTATGAATTTGTCAGTTCTGTTCAATTGTTTCCAGCAAAGTGACTCGATCATATTGTTCATGTTATCTGGTGGAGGGAGGGTGGGCTGGGGGGGAGAGAATCTAAAATTAGATTGTGTACAGACTCTGGGCAATTGGTCCTTGTCCAGAATCATTTTCCTATCTGTTGATAGATTCATGCGGTAATAGTCGCAAACTCATTTGCGGCTAGTCACAGCCCATTAACCATCTGTTCCTCTATTAAGCAACCTTCTTTATATAATGTAAGTATTTAATTTTAATAAACTTTATCTACCACGCATTTATCTTAGACATAATAAGGAACTATTGAGAGCATGGTCAATGGGCCATGTAAAAACCATCATATTTTTGATAGAATAGCTTCTGTGTAAGGCAAGGGGGGGGGAATCTACCCCAAGAGTAGTTTTCAAATAGCTTTAAGAAAAAATAGTATTTTCTTAACTTCAGCATGATCAAAAGGGGAGGAAAGGCCATATTCTGAGATAATTAATGCTTAAATGCAGAATGGCACTGGAGAAGCCTTGCTTTTTGCTATGAAGATCAGCACAGTGATCAATTTAGATTGCATTTCAGAGACACCAAATCTCACATCTTCTTGGCAGTACTTAGTGATGGCTATTCCCCCACCCTCAAGAGCTTTGTCAGCCGGTCTTATGAATTGTACATCATCCAACCATAGCAGATACTGCAGCGCTATAGTTAAACATTCTAAAGTGACTTGAAATCAATTGGAAGCCTAGCTTTATACAGATATCATCCAAATTCACAGCAGAGCTCTTCAAGTGTGGGTATATTAGCCAAAGAAGGAAGAATAAAAGATTTTGACTTTTGTATATATACACAGCTTTGGATGTGATGAGGTTTTTGCCATTAGGCACCTAGGTTCAGCCATCGTGCTAGTGTATGTTATTATTAACAATACTATTAATAATGCTGATGCATATAATTGCAGCACTTTTCCTCTCGTAGGAGGGCCAGCAGTAGGGAACTCCTGCACGGAGTATCATAAAGAGGAGTGGGAGAAAAGGATGGGTTGCTTTACTGTATTATATTATAGTTTCCAAATGTACATGAAGTTGTAATACAAGCAAAAGCAAAACTCCCAGAAAGGAGTTTCAAGGAGCTTACATCTAATTCAACTTAATTTTGGCAGATGGATAGAAATATTATTAGTAGCATAAGTATTGGTATTATTATAATATTTATATTTATACCCCTCCTTTTTCCCCTGACAAGGATTCAAGATGGCTTACAGGTAAAAATAAGAACAGCCAAAAACATTGAGAGAAAAAGCACAATAATTGAAAAACATATATATAATTAAAACACACACACACACAATCTATTAAAAAGAGACAGATAATTACAAGTAACAAAATAGTACAGAATCAGCCCTTTCATTAAAAACAGTCAGTTCCCAGAAGCCTGTTGGACAGAAGGCTTCATCTGCCAATGGAAGGACAACAAGGAAGGAGCCAGTCTGGCTTCTCTAGGGAGGGGGTCCCAAAGTTGTCTGGGAGCAGCCACCACCAAGAAGGCCCTCTCCTGTTTCCCAGCCCAATGGACTTGTGAAGGTGTGGGGCTGAGGGAAGGCCCTCTTCTGAAGTTCCCAGGCAGATTTGTATGAGGGAATATGGCATCTCAGATATACCATATTCCCACCTGTGAGGTGGGTCAGGCCAAGAAATGATGGGTAGCTGAACATCAACCAGGGAGCATCATAACTAAAAGAGGCTTGTACTGAGTCTCTACTTCAGCATGGCATGTATTGCACATGCACACCACACGGGCTCTTATTTGTCAGAATCAACTGCTGAGAACTCTCTCTTCCAGTGTGCCAATCACTTCCCTCTGGCATAATCCCAAGCGCGTGTATGGGGTGTTGGGAGAGGAGTACAGTGGTACCTTGGTTCTCAAACACCTTGGTACTCAAACAACTTGGAACCCAAACACTGCAAACCCAGAAGTAAATGTTCTGGTTTGAGAACTTTTTTCAGAAGTCGAAAGTGCTCCGTTTTGAGTATTACACTTCCGTTTTGAGTGTTACGCTGCCGTCTGTCTGTTTTGCTATTTCTGTGAGTTTTTGTTTTTGCTGCTCTTTTTTGTTTTGTTTTTGGGACAGTGTGGTACCCAGTTCAGCTACTGATCGATTGATTGTGTAACTGCAGTACATTGTTTATTGCTTTCATTTTATGGATCAATGGCCTTGTTATATAGTAAAATTCATGTTAAACTGCTGTCTTTTTTTAAAAAAGAATTTTTATTATGTTTTCATTTACCAAATTAAACATATCAAGCCAATTAATCCAAATTATAACAATACACATCATATAATCCAATTATTTCCCAATTGTAAATTTTTTGTGGGGGGTACCCATGCTTCTTGATCGGCAGGAGTCCAATCCTCGAATATTTCTGCTGCTTTCATATTTACAATGATATTTTCAGTCCCTCTTCTCAGTCCTTGTCGTTACGCATTTTCCTTTTCATTCACCTCCGAATTATCTCCGCAAGTGGGTTAAAAAAAACAGTTATTTATATTTCTGTGTGGATTCTGTATTGCTCTCTCGTGAATCACTCTCATCCAATAGTCCAGGCGTTTCCGCTCGAGCGGGCAATCGCCATCTTGTCATTCCGATGAAATACAGTCTAAAAGCCCACTCGCTAACTTTCCAGACCTGTTGCATCGTAAATTAGTCTTTTCCAGGAGGGCTGCCTCTTCCGGTTCACAATTCCATCAGATAACAAATCTTCGGCTCGCCCTCCCTAAGACCAAACTCCCTGCAACAGGTGTCTGTCCTTCTGTATCAAATCTCAATTCTTGCTGCCTCACAAAGAGAGCCTTTGTTTTTCCAAGTCCTTCACAGAATAAAACCTTTAAATTCATATTATTTTTCCCCACACAGCTCATTTTTAACCCCATTTGCCAATTAGTTATTGTGACGGATCTTCTGAGGGGGAGGATTATTAGGCAATCACATGAAACAAGAAATAAAAAGTCATTTCCCCCCCCTTCCATTCCGTTGCCTTCCACATACCAGCATGTCTGTAGTACTTTGATGTAATCTTCCATCTCAATTTTCTTCCTTTCAGTGGCCAAATTATTAGCAGATAAAACCTCCTGCCTTTCTCGAAGCATGTGCGTTAGCTTTCTCCAAATTTTTCCTTTTAAGTAACGCAACTAGTTTCGCTCCTGGAAGCAGCTTCGGAGCAGTGCCGAAACCCACCAAGGGTTGTGCACCCAGTGCCTCACACCCCCTCCTTCTTCCGAACTTGGGGGTGATTTATGGCAACCACGGGTGAAAACTGCATCTTTCCATTCCCTGGAGAGACAAAGGAGACTGATTTACTCCCCATAATCAGCCTCAAATTACCTCATGCGGGCTGGATAGATGGTATTATCCGCCATCTTCCAAGGCGGCCCTAGCGCCCCCCCCATGTTAAACTGCTGTCTTAGGTGTTTTTTTAAAAGTCTGGAACAGATCAATCCATTTTCCATTACTTTCTATGGGAAAGTGCGCCTTGGTTTTGGAACGCTTTGGTTTTGGAACGGACTTCTGGAACTGATTAAGTTTGAGAACCAACGTACCGCTGTAGTACCTCTGGTGGCTAAACATGCTTCTTCTCAGGTGGCTTGCCTACCTTTGGTCTGCATCCTGCATCCAGCACCCAGACACGTGTGCCAACTCTAGGGGGCCTGGTGGCACATGATGCGCGAACATGATGCCACACGTGGTGCACAATCCAGTTTCAGTGGCCGGCTCCTCCAGAGTGCTCGGCCTTCTCCAGAAGAAGTGGCATCATGACACATGTCAAGCGCATGATGTCACACATTCAAGACGCGTGAACTAGGGACTTCCCGTGCATGCAAAGACATGCTCTGGTGGGTCGAGCAAACAAGACCAGTTGTGGGTCCAATAAGAAAGAAGCAAGATTCTGCACTTGCTGTAGAGGGAAGTGAGGGGCAGGTGAGGCTCATCCACCTGGGAAGGTAGCCCATCTAGGAGAAGGAAAACTCTGATCCTAAACCTCCACTGCCTTGCAGGACATCTTTGGGAGAAGAAAAGGCTCAGCAGTAAACCCTACACAAATCCAGAATGGAGTCCCTACAGTGGTTGGATGGCACCTTGTACTCCTCCTTTTGGCAACTCCTGCAGCCAAGCTGGTGCCAAATGTATCGCTCTGCTTACCTTTGGATCACATCAGAGAGGCCAAGAGGGAGGTCTTGTCTTTTGGGCAGCCCAGAACCTCCATACACACTGCACAGGCCGGCGCCCCAGGGAGGTCACTTTGGTGACGCTAACACAGTGGTTTGACGTTGTCCCTAGAGGTGCACTCCATTGTCTCTTGAGATAGACAGATAATAACAACAACAATTTATTATTTATACCCCACCCATCTGGCTGGGTTTCCCAGCCACTCTGGGTGGCTTCCAGCCGAATATTAAAAACTATACAGCCTCAGACACTAAAAACTTCCCTAAAGAGGGCTGCCTTCAGTTGTCTTTTAAAAGTAAAATAGTTGTTTATTGCCTTGACATCTGCCGGGAGGGCGTTCCACAGAGCAGGCACCACTACCGAGAAGGCCCTCTGCCTGGTTCCCTGTAACCTCACTTCTTGCAGCGAGGGAACCACCAGAAGGCCCTTGGCGCTGGACCTGATGGGGGTGGAGATGCTCTTTCAGGTATACTGGGCCAAGGCTGTTTAGGGATTTAAAGGTCAGCACCAACACTTTGAATTGTGCTCAAAAACATACCGGGAGCCAATGTAGGTCTTTCAAGACCGGTGTTATATGGTCTCGGCGGCCACTCCCAGTCACCAGTGTAGCTGCCGCATTCTGGATTAATTGCAGTTTCTGTGTCACCTTCAAAGGTAGCCCCACGTAGAGCGCATTGCAGTAGTCTAAGCGGGAGATAACTAGAGCATGCACCACTCTGGCGAGACAGTCCATGGGCAACAACAACAGTCCCATGTGTCTGCAACAAAGTCGATGGCTATTCAGTCACCGTCAGGTTGAAAATATCCACATGACAGGCCCCACCAGTGGTCCTTTGCCCCTACCTACCCAGTGGCATGGGTGCTGCTTCCCTGTAGAGGGATACTTGCCACTGCTGCACTGGGTGCTGTCAGAAAGAAGGAGACTCTTAGGTGCAATGCTTGGGATTCACTGAGGCAGCATTGACTGCGGCAAAAAATATTACTTTCCAGTGCTCCAGGTCTTCTTCAAATCAGACACATAATGGCAAAACAGATGATTTTCATAGACGTTGGGGTTATTTTATCAGTTAAAACATGTTGTCTTTCTCCTGAAGGTTAGCAAGAAGTATTTCGTGGGAGTTGCCATAGGAACCTTGCACACACAAAACTGAATGTAAAAAGAAATTTTATGGTGAGCTGAAAGGAACGGCAGATGAAGGAAGGGAGGTTACAAACCCTCTCTATAAATCATTTACAGAACATTTAAAATGGGGCAATAAAACTGACAGACTTTTTTTTCTTTTGATCTTGGGCCTTCTGTTGAGCAAAATGTTCAAGATAGATTTCACCTTGTGTTAACAACGAGTTACTTCTCACAAAACTTTTGCAAAATCTGTGTGCCTCTTGGCAATTATGAAAGGCATATATATAAACTGCCACTTTTCTTAGCAAAGCTACAGTATTTTTTTGCATATCTTATTGAGTCTGGTTATTTCTCTAGAAGGGAAACCATTGCATTGCATAAAAATAACAGACTCTGATGGTTTCTAAACATGTGCCCCCCCCAAAAAAACACACAAAGGTCCATGGAGCAAAACATGGTGGTTCCATCCATTTCTAATGGACATTGTGATGGAAAAAACCAGACTCAGCAGAGGCACATAACTCCTCTGCTTTTGACAGAAGAAACTCTAGCCCTCGATGAATAGCTGTTCTCTCTCTTGCATCATGGCTATACCTCCATGGGTTGGTAAGGAGTCCTTTTTATGTGAGATTCTATTTAAAAAGGGACGCGGGCGGCACTGTGGTCTAAACCACAGAGCCTAGGGCTTGCCGATCAGAAGGTTGGTGGTTCGAATCCCCGTGACAGCGTGAGCTCTCATTGCTCAGTCCCTGCTCCTGCCAACCTAGCAGCTCAAAAGCATGTCAAAGTAGATAAATAGGTACCGCTCCAGCGGGAAGGTAAATGGTGTTTCCGTGTGCTGCTCTGGTTCACCAGAAGTGGCTTAGTTGTGCTTGCCACATGACCCGGAAGCTGTACACTGGCTCCCTCGGCCAGTAAAGCGAGATGAGCACCGCAACCCCAGAGTTGTCCGCAACTGGACCCAACAGTCAGGGGTCCCTTCAACTTTTACCTCTTTAAAAACATGTACTGATTTAACTCTTGGGTTTTGACTGCTCTAAGTAATAACGGAGCAGCCTTTGCTTTCTCATAAGGTCTGCCATGCTTTTATCCTTTATACACACCAGATTAATTTATTCTAGCCCTCCATATGCTAATCAGCTCCTGATGTGGCATTGAGGAGAAGCAAAACATGAATCTTTTAGCATGCAGATGGGTTTCAATCAGACATGTTTTGGAGTAAGCGTGGGCTGGGAGCATGGCTACGACTCCTGCCAACAGCAAAGCAAGGTTCAGAATGATCTGGTTACAGGTTGCTTATCCACAAACATCCCCACGGAACCTATAAACATCCCCCCCCCGCCCCTTAGTTTGCTTGTCATAAAATACCCAGGGAGTGTAACTCTGCCAGTGTTGCTTGCACTGCCTGGAAATACTGTCAATCTGCAGCAAAGCAGCTTCAGGCAGAGAGAGAGAGAGAGAGAGAGAGAGAGAGAGAGAGAGAGAGAGAGAGAGGGAGAGAATATACTTGCAGACTGGATCATTTCAACATGTTGCCACATAATATTTTGTGGAGTACTTAGTGAGAACCATTTTCTCAATGAGAACATTAATATTTCTGGGAACTTTTGCTATCTTCTCTAATGCTGCTATGTACTGAAGTTCTCACCCTGGGCCAGCAGGGGGATACTGTAGATAGTTATGCAAATGAAGGATCGAAAGTGACGTTCAGTGATTGGATGGATACTGTAGATAGTTATGCAAATAAGGGATCAAAAGTGACGTTCAGTGATTGGTTAGTTTTAGAAAATTGTTACAGTTATGTTGTACTGGAGCTCTATATAAGCAGGCTGACTGAACCCTTCAGTTCAGTTCTGTTCTGGCCTGTGAGTAAACAAGAGCTGTTTGAAGAATCGCTGTGTCGTCTGATATGTTCACCCACAACTTAACAAGTGCCGCCTCTCTCTTCTGCGGAGAGAAGTACAGTGGTACCTCTGGATGCGAACAGGATCCGTTCCGGAGCCCCGTTCGCATCCTGAGCAGAACGCAACCTGCGTCTGCGCGTGCGCGGCTCATGATTCACCGCTTCTGTGCATGCGCACGACGTCATTTTGAGTGTCTGCGCATGCACAAGTGGTGAAACCTGGAAGTAACACGTTCTGTTACTTCCGGGTCACCGGGGAGCGTAACCTGAAAATGTTCAACCTGAAGCGACTTTAACCTGAGGTATGACTGTATTATCTGTATAGAAATGGCTCTTTCGGAGATGATTCTCCCGTGACAGAGAATCATAGAATTGTAGAGTTGGAAGGGACCACGAGGCTCATCTAGTCCAACCCAATGCAATGCAGGAGTCTTTTTGCCCAACGTGGGGTTCAAACCCATGACTCTGAGATTAAGAGTCTCATGCCCTACCGACTGAGCTATCCCAAGAATGTTTGCTGTTTGTAATAGCAGATATAATGAAGACAGAGAAACAGTCTTCTATGGAAGCAAAAGCCCAGGTTATACAAGAACAGAATCATTTTATAAAACTTCCTTTGGAGTGAATCATTTCAGGTCACAGGTATGGTTTTTCTCATGTTTGAATACTCCCACATGGGGTTGGGAATCCCTGCAAATAGATAAACATCTGGTGAGGAGGAAGGTTAGGCAGAACCTATCTCCCTAAGATACTAGTATCAGCACAGCATGGTTTGTTTGTTTGTTTGTTTGTTTGTTTGTTTGTTTGTTTTTAAAAGGAAAGTAAAGATTCTGCAGTCTCCATGTACAGCCTGAATGGTATAGGCCAGGCATAGGCAAACTCGGGCCTCCAGATGTTTTGGGACTACAGCTCCCATCATCCCTGACCACTGGTCCTGTTAGCTAGGGATCATGGGAGTTGTAGTCCCAAAACATCTGGAGGGCTGAGTTTGTCTATGCCTGGTATAGTCCAAAGTTAGCTTTACCACTTGATTGGATAAACTGGTCCACAGAGAGCTAGGAGTGGGAAATGAGAGTATTGATGAAGGCATGCTTTTGAGGTGAGAACAGGAGATCAAGGAGGTGAAAATTGAACTGCTGGTAAAACCCTGGATCTGAAATTAAACTAGGGCGCTGGAAACTCTGCCCTTCTTTTGTGCATAGACTGACTTTGTACATTTCACGAGAGGCTATAGTTAGTGGAGAAACATAGTTGCTGAATTATAAATAGCGCAAAGGTTTAAAGCTCAGCCTTGGCAGGCTTATATGTTTATTGTTTTTTTCTTAATTCTTTACAGACATTATATTTTATTTAGTCAGTTTGCCTCATGCCCTTCCTCCCAAAGGAGTTAAGAGTGGTAAGCCTCAGAATGTAACACTGGGTAGTATTCAGCTATGTTGAGCAGACCCACAGAAATTAATGGACATGGCTTCGTTGTGCTCATTAGCTTCAATCGGTCTACTCTAAAACTTAGCTGAATGCCATTTAAAATAAGATAAAGACATGCCTAAAAGCATTTAAATAATGAGCTTTTTATTGGAGCGAGTTCTTAACTCTTTGGTGCATCAGTTAAAAATACCGTATTTTTTGCACCATAACACTCACTTTTTTCCTCCTAGAAAGTAAGGGGAAATGTCTGTGTGTGTTATGGAGGGAATGCCTACGGGTGCTGGGGGGGATCTGCTGCAGTCGTGAGCAGAGGATCCATGGTTCCCCTTCCTTCCCTCCTCCGTGGCTCGCTTTGAAACAGCAAAGCGGGAGAAGAGTCGCTGAGTGGGGAGGAGAGAGGGACAGAGAGCCTGCTTGCTTTAAAGGAGCAAAGCGGGAGAGGAGAGGAGCCTTCTCCCCTTATACCCCTCTTCTTCATTATTAGCAGCATCCTTCTCCACCCACCCCACGCATGCTCCTTGTCCCTTGAGTGCTTTTCCTTCCCTCCCCACTTAAAACGTGGTTACAAAGCACGGATCCACATGGATCCTCAGGATTTTTGCATTGGGCTACTCCAAACTCACTGTCAGATCACATGTCTGTGGCCACAGCATGAACCACAAAAATCATACATCCACTGTTTCGTTTAGAATATTTTTTTTCTTGTTTTCCTCCTCTAAAAACTACGTGCGTGTTATGGTCGGGTGCGTGTTATAGAGCGAAAAATACAGTAATAATAATTAAAGTGTCACATGTCCGAACTCCAGTTTTTTGGGGGGAAATTGACCATTTTCTCTTCATTAGACATTGTTGGAAAATACAGTGTGTGTGTGTGTGTGTGTGTGTGTGTGAACAAAGGGGGAAGTGGTATTTGCAATCTTGGTATGCGCTTACCCACAGCATCCTTGGGCAAATGTGAATACCTCACCTATTACCAGCACTGCCTGCACCTGTTTTTAAAAGGACACACTGTGGGGCAAGGCAGAATCAATCTGCAATGAGCTTCTATTTCAGAAATGAAACCTGCTTCTCAAGAAGTGCTTTACAGGGGCAAAAAGATATACTAGATCAGGCTTCCTCAACCTTGGCCCTCCAGATGTTTTGGCCTACAACTCCCATGATCCCTAGCTAGCAGGACCAGTGGTCAGGGATGATGGGAATTGTAGTCTCAAAACATCTGGAGGGCCGTGGTTGAGGAAGCCAGTACTAGATTACTAGATACTATTTTAGATTGTGTGTGGACTATGTAGAGAGGAAAAGTGCTGAGTTTGCATTGATTCTAGAAGTAAATGTCATTTGTCTGTGACCGCTGTCAACCACAGAAAGACAATCCAACTGCCCGCCACTAAACTAAACCAAAACAATCAGACTCAGTTTGAGGCTGATCTTCTAGCATGGCTTTTTTTTATCAAAATGAACATGCCTGCATTTCTGTTTAGCGATGGATAGTGCCCTCCAGCTGGTTAGAAGCTGGAGTGTAATTATATTGTTATGAGTTTGTGAGTGCCAAACCCCTTTAATCCCTGGACCCAGTAAGTGTCAAAACTTAATCAAGGCTTGGGGTGTTAAAATGGGGGCCAGACCATTCTAATCCCTGGTTCCAGCAACTGTTCAAAGCTAAATAAGCCAGGCTAGTTTCCGGTGTTGAGGTGATTGCTTGCGTGATGGACTATTATGGGGGGGAAAGAGAAGGTGATGGGCCAATAAGAAAGCAAATAAAAGGGGGCTCTGTGTCAGATGGCAAATGGGTGGAGCCCCTCCTCCAGCTCTTAAATAGCGAGGACAAAAGTCAGCGTTTAGAGTTGAAAGGGTGTGTGAGCTGACTTCGAGGGAAAAGTGGCAGACTGGAAAAAGCAGAGAGTGAGCAAGCCATGACAGATCTTTGCTTGAATTCAAGGCTGCAGCTATGAGAGAAGGAGACCCTTTCGGTGTGTTGTTGCTGTGAACCCCTCCATCATAGGCCCAGCTTCTATATATGTGTAAATAAACCTTATATCCTAAAGACACCACAGTCTCTGCAGAGCATCATTTCAAAAAGGCAACATGGACCCTGAGTAAGTACCTAGAACTCCTAGAATCTCACAGCGCTTGGAGACTAGAATGGCGTACAACAATATTTTACACAAAAGTGACTTTTGGCAGGACCTGCCAAAGCTTAGTCTGAGTTGCTTCCACAGTTTCTCAAACCACTTGGCTCCAAACAGTAAATTCAAGGTTTCTCCGGAAGGTCCAAACTCTTGCTCTGGTAAGATTTATGGTGGCCCCACAAACAAACCACCCTCCTCTATCAGAAGCAAAGCCTCGCTCTTCCCCTCCCTGTGTCTTATGTCTATCTCTTCTCCAGTGGAAATGGGGAAACAGAAAGGAGGTCCGCTTTCCACTCTACAAGCAAGCAAGCAAGCAAACACAAACTCTGGATCCCTCTCCCCATCAAATGGCAATGATTTTTCTGGTGCCATCATAACTGAAGAAAATGCAAACAAAAGCCCACGTAGCAGTCAGTCGATTGGGTTTGGAGTCTGCTTTTCTTTTTCAGTTTTCCCGGGATTGGAAAAATCTGAATTCACTGTACAAAAAAAGGGCTGGTGGTTTCTGAATAAGGGCAATATTGTATGAATGATGCCCAGAAATATTGGACTCAAACAGCCTCAAAGTCCAGTATGGAAAAGCCCTTAGGAGCGGCTCTCTTCCCTGTCAGGTCTGGAGTTTTACAATTTAGAGCAGAGCTTGCATCTTTTTCTCAGAAATGCAAGAAGCTCCCTAAAGGCCTATGCTAATATAAACTGATGCAAGAGCCTTGCCAGCTTGCCTCTGCCAGCCAGTTTTTAGCAATAATAATTTATTATGTCACGATCTTGAAAGGCTAAAAGGGATTTGTGCACTGTAAATATCATGTTGTTATATCTCCTATGTTTTTAATCATTTATGTGCTTGTATTCTAAGCGCTGGCTGGTTTCTCTTGCTAGCTTGTACTTCTATAGGAATATAAATCTTTCACCACATACTATTTCTGTTCCGCCGCTTAGAAGAAAAATCCCTGTGTTAATTATGCACAACCTACATAGAGAGACAGCCAAGAGCTGTGTTTGTTAAAAGGTGAAGAGTTTAGGGACAGGACGAATTTTTCACCCTGACTCAAATTAAGGGAGAAGAAGCTGGGGCAGCCTCGCTCGGAAGTCCCAGGGCCACATTAGCATCCTGAAGCCTCTGGCGCAGGGAACAAGTTCTTGAGAAAAGGCTTAGCCCAGTGCAGTCCATAAACATTCCTCGGCTCGTGAAGCCCTTGTCTTGTGGCATCTGGCTTTATGAATCCCATTAATGCCAGCTTGCTCACGCAAAGCCTCAGAGGGAACCTAACAAAGCTCTCTATGCCCATTCAGAGTGAAGTAAATCCATTCCAGATGCTACAATCCATTCCTTATGCTGGGAGTGGCAGAAAGCATTTTTTTGTACTATCCACCAAAACATTTTGGTGAGGCGCCTCCCTCCAACATTCCTCAGGTGAAAAGAGGGACATTTTTCAGTTCCCCTGACCCTCCACAACACCCCATTTTTATGTCTCTTTCCTTCACAGAACAGAGTGGTGCATGCTCTAGTTATCTCCCACTTGGACACAGTGTTGCAACCCCCAGAGCAGAGAACAGGTGGGAGCATGGCTGGCGCGTGTCCCAGGGGTGTAGCGCGCCACCCACGGAGGTGTGGCTAGTGGCGTTGGGGTGTGGTGCATCACCACGGGGTTTGGTGCATCGGTGTGGCACATCAGCGCGGGGGCATGGCGCTCGTCCAGGGTTGCGTGGCATGCAGCCCAGGTGGGCTCAGCATGCGCCATGCATCCTGAGGGGTGGCAGCGATGCCACCCTTTCCCCAAATGGTGCCCGGGGCGGTGCACTCCCCCGTCCTCCCCTCGTACACCAGTGCTTGGACTACTGCAATGCGCTCTGCGTGGGTGGGGCTACCTTTGAAGGTGACCCGGAAACTACAACTAATCGAGAATTCAGCAGCTAGACTGGTGACTGGGAGTGGCTGCCAAGACCATATAACACCAGTCCTGAAAGACCTACATTGGCTCCCAGTATGTTTCTGAGCACAATTCAAAGTGTTGGTGCTGACCTTGAAAGCCCTAAACAGCCTCGGCCCAGTATACCTGAAGGAGCGTCTCTACCCCCATTGTTCAGCCCAGACACTGAGGTTCGGCTTCTGGCAGTTCCCTCACTGCGAGATTTGAGGTTACAGGGAACCAGGCAGAGGGCCTTCTCGGTAGTGGCACCCACCCTGTGGAATGCCCTCCAACCAGATGTCAAGGAGATAAACAACTATCTGACTTTCAGAAGACATCTGAAGGCAGCCCTATATAGGGAAGTTTTTAATGTTTGATGTTTTATAGTGTTTTTAATATTCTGTTGGGAGCTTCCTAGAGTGGCTGGGGAAACTCAGCCAGATGGGCAAGGTATAAGTATTATTATTATTATTATTATTATTATTATTATTATTATTACTATTATTTTATTTCCTGTCAGAAGAAGGGCGAGTGCCACCACCATTATATCACCCTCCACCATCCTGAGAAAAACCCTTAATCCTGATTTTATTTTATACCTTGGTAGATTTACAAAAAGAAAAAGAAACATACCAATAAATAAATTTTAGAAAGGGGCAAGGTTACATGTGGACGCACAAAGCATTTTTTGTTTTAAAAAATCAAGACTCCTTGTGCTTTGCTCCCCCTTTCTTCCTGCCCAAGTCAGCCCTGTCCTCTGCCTGCTCCTCAGAGATAGAACATCACACAGGGCTGGTCCTTGTTGGTGGCAACATCTCTTCCTTCTTGCCTGCTCTCCAGTAGCTTGAGAGCCAGTGTGGTGTAGTGGTTAAGAGCGATAGTCTCGTAATCTGGGGAACCGGGTTCGCGTCTCCGCTCCTCCACATGCAGCTGCTGGGTGACCTTGGGCTAGTCACACTTCTCTGAAGTCTCTCAGCCCCACTCACCTCACAGAGTGTTTGTTGTGGGGGAGGAAGGGAAAGGAGAATGTTAGCCGCTTTGAGACTCCTTAAAGGGAGTGAAAGGTGGGGTATCAAATCCAAACTCTTCTTCTTCTTCTTCAGCTTCTACAACCTGCCTAAGGGAGCAGCTAAGGGAGGAGGCCAGCAGCAGAGGCAATGGAGAAGCAATAGGAAGCTTCCTCACAGCTGCCACTACCACCATCACTCGGGACAAGCGTCCGCTCATCCTCCTCCCTGAGCTCAGCGGTGGGGGCACTGGAAATAGATGCATTCTGGGATCAAATCAGAAGCTGGGATGGCTTTCAGAATTCTGGGACTGTCCCTGGAAAATCAAGACACTTGGAGGGCGTGTTATAGGGTGGCAGGAGTATCGGATTGGATTTCTGGGTGCACCACACTCCCTGCCCCACTTCCAGTTAACTGGCACCAATTGCTTTTTCTTTCCTTTCTGCAGCTGTCTCGCTAATTTATTTTGTTAGTGTGGCTTAAGGCTTGCCCTGGGCTTTTCCCTAGGAAAACCCTCAGTTTAGCACTGAATGGGAACATATAGAGCTTTTTGGGGATCACCATTTGTTCTGATTTAGTGCTAAGGGTGGGTTTTTCCAGGGGAAAGCAGCGGGGCAAAGGCAGACCTGTGCCTGGAAAGCATGGGACCTGCGTTTTCTGGGTATGGGGCAAGCAGAAGTATGGGCAAGCCCTTGCTTGAGATGTCATTCCGCAGTGTTCTTCAGCCTTGTGCTTGCCCTTGAAATATGCTCAGAGTCCTGCAGTGATTTATTGCAGCTCTTTATTGCAGCTTGTAAAACAGGGATTGACTTGCCCCCCAAACCTCAGGCTTTTATATACATTATTTACACAATGAGTCCCGTCTGATTGGCTGATTCTGCTTCCCTCCTGGAGCCTGATTGGTCTTTTCCTGCAGGCCAATCAGTTGTTGCATTCTAGGATCCTACTTGCCTATTGTTCTAGGATCCAAGCTTAGTACATAACAGCCCTGAAAATGAATTGGGCCCTTAGGCATTCCATTTGACTGATGCTTTCAATTTCCACTGGGGATTATGGGGGTTGCAATTTCACGCTTATGCTCCCCGTGGGAAAAGCCGATGCCAATGTCACAATGCTGGCACTGCCTTCACTTTGCAAACAGTTAAGGGAAATAAGTGATTTTCAAAAGAGGAGGGAAATCCCCTCCCTGATCCCGACCGACTTTCTTTCTTTCTTTCTTTCTTTCTTTCTTTCTTTCTTTCTTTGCTACACTTCTGCTGTTTGTAAATTCGCCACATCTGTTTTGCTGTTTTGACAGTCATTTTTATTTTTCTTGATGCACTCCAACTCAAACGGTATCAGCTATTTGGGAGATCACCAAACAGATGTGTTGACAATGTGTAGTCAATCAGACTATTTAAATAAAAAATGCTTTCAGAATGAAGGCAATGCGTCTTCTGCAGGTCACATGGACAATCTTAGCCAATCAGGGATTGCAAATTCCAAGTACACTTGCAGCTCTTTTGAGATGATGATGATTATATCACTAAAAGTAGGGTAAAGGTAAAGGTACCCCTGACCGTTAGGTCCAGTCATGGACGACTCTGGAGTTGTGTGCTCATCTCACTCTATAGGCTAAGGGAGCCAGCGTTTGTCCGCAGACAGCTTCTGGGTCATGTGGCCAGCATGATTAAGTCACTTCTGGCAAACCAGAGCAGCACATGAAAACGCTGTTTACGTTCCCCAAGGAACAGTACCTATTTATCTACTTGCACTTGGACATGCTTTTGAACTGCTAGGTGGGCAGGAGCTGGGACCTCACCCCGTCATGGGGATTCAAACTGCCAACCTTCTGATCGGCAAGCCCTAGGCTCTGTGTGCACAGACCTCCTTTCGGTTCAGACTCATTGCTGAGGAAATGAATGCAGCACTCAGCAGAGCAAGCAGAGCCTATGCCAGGGGTCAGCAAACTTTTTCAGCAGGGGGCCAGTCCACTGTCCCTCAGACCTTATGGGGACGGACGGACTATATTTTGAAAAAATAAATGAATGAATTCCTATGCTCCACAAATAACCCAGATATGCATTTTAAATAAGGACACATTCTACTCATGTAAAAACATGCTCATTCCCGAACTGTCCATGGGCCGGATTTAGAAGGCGATTGGGCCGGATCTGGCCCCCGGGCCTTAGTTTGCCTACCCATGGCCTATGGCAGTGGCTGTGTAGAGAAGACTCTGGCTGCTTTCCTTAGTACAATGGCATTATAACCATGCCTTATTCTCATCTGTGAAATATGGGAAGGTGTTCAGTTAAAGACTGGGCAAAATACAAAATGGAGGGTTGTAAATTTCCCCCCAAGTGGAGGGGATGTTTGGGTGGGTGGAGCCTGGAGATAGGCAAGGCTTGCCATTGGCTGCAGTCCTGATGCGATGGCAGCTCTTTATTTTACTTGGAAGAAAAACATTTGTGGGGCAGCTGCCAGTTCTGCTCCCAAAATGCTCCAGACATACAATTTTCAGGGAGAACTCTAGAAAGAGGCAGTGGTGGCTGCCAGTCAGAGGCTGCTCAGTGGAGCTTTGTTGCTGCATGTCCATATATTAAGAGAAATGTACAGGAAGATGCACACATGTTTCTGTGCAGAGTTTTTAAATAAAGAGAATCACAAATTGATGCAGAAATGGGGTGTACAGACCTAAGGTTGGGAAAAATGAGAAACTGAAAGAAGCCAAAACTGACTGATTTGCCCATTCCTACGTGATGAGGCTGATCTTCACGTAGTGACTGCCCAATTCACTGGTTTCAGGCTTCTAGTCAGAATGTATTGAATTATATTGACAGTTTCTTTTCTAGCATGTAAACAAATGCATTATAATAACTATTGGTATTTGTTTTCTACCAAAATCCACCTTTCTATATCAGAAAAGTAAGGACACAATACATTTTTTTAAAAAAGTTTGTGGAATCTGCATTTCAGATTTTGACCCAGTATTGTTCACTGGCAATAAAAATAAAATAAAATAAAATAAAATAAACAGCAAACAGCAAATCATAAAACCTGCCTTTAACTAGAATAATTGATCTAAGTGTGTGGAACACAAAAACTCCCAGAGCTTGTTAGTCTTTATGATGTTGTTTTAATTAAAAAGCATTATACAGGAAAAAAATAAATATTTTATAAACCATCAACTTTCATTTTGCTAAAAGGAAAAATTCAGTCACTGAAAGTATGTTGTTCTGGAATGCAGAATGGGGCATGACGCTTGATGCCTTCTTATTCCTTCATCTTACATTCCAAAAGTTCTTCACAACTTAATCATATAGGTTCATGCATTGGTACCTTCACAGAAGCTCATTTCAGGCTCAGGGGTCCAGCTCACAGTGGCGGCCTCAGCAGCAGGTTCCCCAAGGCTTCTTGGATCATTCTTTTTCTAGCACCTTCCCTTTGACCTTACCACCTTGGGTGACCCTGCTGGGAGTACAAGATTCCTGATGGCTTCGCTTACAAGGGTCATAGGAATGTGCAAGCCCATTCACCACAACAAGGTGGTGATCCAGCAAGTGAGAGAGGAGGAGGAGGAGGAGGAGGAGGAGGAGGAGGAGGAGGAGGAAGAAGAAGAAGAAGAAGAAGAAGAAGAAGAAGAAGAAGAAGAAGAAGAAGAAGAAAGAAAGAAAGAAGATGGGGTGCAGTATTCTATGATTATTTATTACTTATTCAGTTTCTACACTGCTCTTCACCTGAGGATCACAGAGTGGTTTGTAATATAAAAACACAAAAATACAGAACATGATAACAAACAAAACAAAACAATGCCTCCCCTCCAGTTGAAAAGGGCATAGATCAGCCAAAGGCCTGGGAGAAGAGGGACATTTTTTGCTCGGCACCAAAAGATGCATAATGAAGGCGCCAGGTGAGACTTGCTGTGGAGGAGGCAGAAAAAGAAGGGCTCAAGATGATGATGGCAGGAACCAGGTCAGTTCCTATGGGGAGAGGCGGTCCTTGAAGTATTGCGGTCCTGAGTTGTCTGAGAGCCAGTGTGGTGTAGTGGTTAAGAGCAGTGGACTTGTAATCTGGTGAACAGGATTCGCGTCCCTGCTTCTCCACATGCAGCTGCTGGGTGACCTTGGGCTAGTCACACGTCTCTGAAGTCTCTCAGCTCACTCACCTCACAGAGTGTTTGTTGTGGGGGAGGAGGAGAAAGGAGATTGTGAGCCGCTTTGAGACTCCTTAGGGTAGTGATAAAGCGGAATATCAAATCCAAACTCTTTGAGGCTTTTTAGGTCAAAACCAGCACTTTGAATTGGGCCTGGAAATTAACTGGAAGCCAGTGAAGTTGAGCCAGGATTGCTGTTATATGTTCAAACTGTCTTGCCCCAGGGAGCAACCTGTCTACTGAATTCTGCACCAGGTGAACTTTCTAAACCCTCTTCAGAGGCAAAAAGGTAAAAGACCCCTGAATGGTTAAGTCCAGTCAAAGGCGACTATAGGGTTGCAGCTCTCATCTCGCTTCAGGCTGAGGAAACCAGCATTTGTCCACAGACAGCTTTCCGAGTTGTGGCCAGCATGACTAAACTGCTTCTGGCGCAACGGGACACCGTGACGGAAACCAGAGTGCACAGAAATGCTGTTTACCTTCCCGCTGCAGCAATACCTATTTATCTACTTGCACTGGTGTCCTTTTGAACTGCTAGGTTGGCAGGAGCTGGGACAGAGCAATGGGAGCTCACCTCATCGAGGGTATTCAAACCGCCGACCTTCTGATTGGCAAGCCCAAGAGGCTCAGTGGTTTAGACCACAGCACCACCCGCGTCTTCAGAGGCAGCCCCATGTATAAGGTGTTGCAGTGATCTAGACAGGTGGGGTGAGCAAGCACACAACCCTCTCTCATGTGATTATAATTGCTCGCTTTTGAATGTTCAAATAGGGCAAATGTGTTGCCCTTAATCCAACTAGGCACCGCACAGAACCAGGAGCAGTGGACTTGTAACTGGATGGGGAATTACACCTGCAGATGCCTGCTGTGTTCTTGAGTCCACTGCCCAATCCACCAGATTCAGTTTCACATGCCTGTACCCAGAAATAAGTTCTGATTATGCTTATTAGCTATTTGGGACAGGGTGTATTAACTAAGGATCCATGCAATGGGAAATGAGGCAAAATGTGTATCAACCGTTCTGAAGTTATAGCCTGGGGATATACTCAACCATTTTATTGTTCTAAAAATACACAGTGTAATCTTCCAGTCTCTCAAGAGTATCTGTGATCCTGATAGTTTGTGTATGAAAAATTCTGTTTCAAATATTGTGCTTGCTTATTTATGAAACTAGTTGCTAAAAATGCCAAAGAATGCTTCATGCAATGATAAAATGGAGACAGTCTTTATTAATTCTAAAGAGTTTTGAGGGGCCTATGGCAATGCATACTCACATACAACACACAGTGGTACCTTGGTTCTCAAACTTAATCCGTTCTGGAAGTCCATTCCAAAACCAAAGCATTCCAAAATCAAGGCACGCTTTCCCATAGAAAGTAATGCAAAATGGATTACTCCGTTCCAGACTTTTAGAAACAACCCCTAAAACAGCAATTTAACATGAATTTTACTATCTAATGAGACCATTGATCCATAAAATTAAAGCAATAATCAATGTACTGTATTCTAAAATAAATAAGACAGTATTGTAGATGATAAAAATAAAATTTATTTATTTTTCTTATCTACACTGATGATTGTCATTGTTTGGATGGGGGGCTTTTATCCATTTCTGCAGTCACACAATCAATCAATCAATCAATCAATCAATCAGTAGCTGAACTGGGTTCCACACAGTCACAAAAACAAATTAACTGAAAAAGCCTCAAAAGCAAAAACGCAAAATAAATAGCAAAAACAAAAGCGCCATTTTGTTTAATCCATTCTGGAAATCCATTTGACTTCTGAAATGCTCGAAAACCAAGGTGCAGTTTCTGATTGGTGCAGGCGCCCCAGAAACAATAGCCGACAGCCGCATTGGACGTTCGGCTTCCGAAAAATGTTCGAAAACCGGAACACTTACTTCCAGGTTTTCAGCATTTGAGAACCAAGGCATTTGAGAACCAAGCTACTAGTGTATACATATACAGGGACCAAAATATATTGGGTGATTTTAATTGCACTCCTTTGTATATGAAGGGGGGAATGACATGAGAATCTACTGTTAGGCTTCAATAATTACACACACTCACGACACACACTACTTTACACTGCTAAAATGAAGGAAAATAACCAAGACTGGACTTCTGTGTGGAAGGTCTATGAGTTTAGCTAATTTCTGGTACTAAAAACAAATTATTTGGCTTAGAATGTGCTCTGAGACACCATGTTCTTTCATTCTAACTGTATATCCTTTGCAACTGGTTGTGGATGGTATATCTTAAGGTACTAGTTTTGTTTGTTTGTTTTTA